ACATGGAAAATCCTCCGGTAGTTATTGACGATTTGCGTCTAACGGAGAACATGGTGAGGAGCCATCTAGAGAGCTTAAATATAAACAAGTCGGCTGGTCCCAACGGTGTCCACCCATTGCTAACCGTTAGCGGGTGTCTTAGCACGACCACTATGTTAATTATTTAAGCTAAGCCTAGAGCAAGGTATTCTACCACTGGACTGGAAAACAGCCGCCGTGGTAGCGGTACATAAAGGAGGGCGCAGGTCAGAAGTAGGTAACTACAGGCCGGTAAGCCTGACTAGTATTCTTAACAAGGTGCTGGAAAGAATCATTAGGGCTCACGTCTGTAAGCACTCAGTGGACCATTCTATACTGTGCCCTGCTCAGCATGGGTTCCTGAAAAAACAGGTTGTCTCACCAATCTTTTGTGCTTCCTAGATGAAATAACTCGTAGGTTGGACGAAGGTGAAAGCGTAGAAGTATGCTATCTAGACTTCAGTAAAGCGTTTGATTCTGTGCATCATCGCCTACTGTTAATCAAGTTGAAAGCCGTCGGCATAGAGGGGCAGATATATAGCTGGATCGCTGACTTCTTAAGTGAGCGATCTTTCTACGTAAGAGTGGGTAGTTCCAATTCCAGCCTGAGGAACATCACTAGTGGAGTACCTCAGGGATCGGTAATGGGATCCATCTTATTCTTACTGTTTTTAAATGACCTAGCGGTAACGCTCTAGTCACCTAACTTTTTCTTCACGGACGATATAGAAGTCGTAGGATCACAGGGGTGAGAGGATCTGGCCAGGGATATTGCTTCAGTCCTAAGCTGGCCCCTCAAGTGGGATTTGCCGCTGAATACCGGCAAAAGCCAACTACTATCGCGGGCCATAGAGGGCATCACAGTTGGCCACGAGGCAGGTCCCTTCACTATGGAGGCGCGAAAGTTGTAAAAGACCTAGGAATCTTGGCAACCGCGGATCTCAGGTGGTCAAATCAATGTGCCAGAGCGGCACAGAAAGCTAGGGGTGAGTTATTTAGACTAAGTTCATCGTTGTCGTGCCGTAAACCTGAGGTGTTTATAACTCTGTACAAGGCCATATTAAGGCCCCACCTAGAGTATCATGTCCAGGCATTGACACCCTTCTTCAAAAAGGATGCCGCCTGTTTAAAGCGGGTTCAACGGCTGGCAACGAGAATGGTTGAGGGTCAGCGTGGCAAAGAATACAAGCAAAGACTTCAGGACCTGGGGCTATTCTCTTTAGAAAAGATAAGGCTCAATGGAGATATGATTGAGACGTTTAATATGATGAAAGGTTTATCTGATATAAGACCAGAAACCCTGTTTCAGGAAGTTCCAGATTCCCGTACAAGGGGACACAGAATGAAGCTGTCCAAGGCCCGGTCTCGATTGATTACCCGGTCACACTAGTTTAGCAACAGGGTGGTCAACATTTGGGCGCCGTTGTATCCACCGTTCAGACTACATGCGTCCGCATTCCGGACCAGGTTGAGGATCACACCCCTGCCTCACCTAAAAGGTGTTTTAAGGTTGGGTGTCTAGCGTGTAGTCAGTCCCACATCAAAGCGACCAAAGCCTAAATAATTTCGTGAAATATACATTATTAATATTATTATTATTATTATTATTATTTGGAACAGACTCCCTGTAGAGTTAGTAGAACTGCAGACCGTGCTAGTATTCAAGACGGCCCTGGACAGTCAGTGATCTGAACTTGTTCCTGAAGTGGAAGTCTGACCATCCATCCAGGGGCTTAAGAAAACCAGTAGTAGAAGCCGCACATTCAGGGTGCATTTCATTTGTTTCGCCCTTCAATTTATTGGAATGTAGTCTAGGAGATGAACGCTCACGAATAACACTTACGTACGACCGCCCTTGGAATACAATAGACAAGCTTGCCCCCCAGTATTGATGAAAGATAAAAAGGTCCTCGAAACAGTTCAACGTAGGGCAACAAAAACAGTTGTAGGGCTTTCCAACCTAACCTACGAAGAGAGATTACAACGGTTAAACCTATTTAGTCTTTGTCACAGACGTCTACGCGGGGACCTGATAATGGTGCACAAAATTGCAACAGTACCAGATCACCCCAACAAGGAGCTATTAACCCCGTCGCATTTACAGGGTCACTCGATGGCTGGACAACACCAACAGTGCCGGACAAACAGCAAACGGTTACACGTCTCTGTGCGAACCATATCTGCATGGAATGCACTTCAGGAGGACATTGTCACCGTAAAAACAACGCACTCTTTCAAGCTTAGATTTGACAAGTTTGTCGCAAGTAAGGGTTCTTTTGAAACCAGGGGAATTGAACACCTAGCCAGTAATGTTGTATGGACCGCTGGCCGATCATTGCAGCACACCTGAAACGGTAACTATAATAGTCCGTAATCTAAATGCACATGATCTATCGCATTTCCATCAGCTTGACTCTGGCCTTGACTGGGTGTATGTGTGACCCGGAAGTGGGCCACGCGAGAGCTAGAAATATACTGAAGGAAATGTTTGGGCAACCATTCCGAGTGGCACGAAACATGATTGACGGGGTGCTAGCAGAGGTGATGCGCACAAGAGGCGATACCAGTTCTCTAGCAAACCTGGTCATCAAGATGCAGAACTGCAG